CCCTCTTAACCCATAGCCCTCGGGACAGGCCCGAATATANGGGTTTTGAGGGGTTATGGGCTGCGAGAACTTAAGCGCCTCATAAGCGCCCCTGATTAGTCCCAGTTAGCGAGCGCTGGAAAGGCGTCTACTGACCCTTTGAGAGAGCGCTATGAGATTTCGAACAGACTCACCTACCCACAACGTGGTCGGAGCATGGATGGACACTGGGAGGACTCTGGGAAGCATGCATCGAGTATTGCAAAGGTTATCGATGAGCGTAATCTCAATGTGAGCCCTATTACCGTATGGGTTTTGGGCCCTAGAAAGCTATGGGTTATTGGGTACCAGGGGCCTATGGGTTATGGGGTCGAATTCCCCCTATCCCGACTTGGGAAAGCCAAAATCTTATGGGTTTCGGGAGTTTATGGGTTACCAGGGGTATGGGTTAGGAGGGTGTCGACTGTACTACTAATCATATCTCATGCTCCTATATCCTTCATGGCTAGCGAATCCCCATCGACCTCGACACCCGACGCCTTGCGCTGGAAGCCCCCACTCCCGCCCGCTGTCCCTGTCGCGTTCACCGACTCCAGGCCTGTCTTAGCCGCGAACGGCTCTCCGCGCATCGTCAACTGGGACCCCCGTATCTTCCAACGTGGACAGCAGGGACATCCTTACCAGCATATATCTCAGTCCCAAGCTCCACGTCTACCTTTGCCATCGAAACCCAGACTAGCATCGACGCATGCTGCGACCTTGCAACCAGAACGCGTCGCTCACAAAGTGATACCGCACAAGGGTCCGCTCCCACAGGGCGCATTCGATACTCTCAAATGTACATTGTCAATCATTCATCGTGTTGCTGTCACCCTATGGAAGTAGCAGATTGACCGCTCGCTCATGCACGACATCACAGTCTACTTCGACAATATCTCCCAGACCCCAGATGCCCCCGCGCGCGCGATGCTCGGAAAACGCGTGAGCTCCATGCCTGGTCTGGCGCACTACACCGCGCAGGACGTGTGCAACTGGTTCGCGACGGCCCGCAAGAAGCAGAGACGGAGAGAGAGGGCAAACCCGGTCTTTCGTGCGCGCGAGTTGCCGCCTCAGGTCGCACGGAAGGAGAACCGAGAGCAGGCGAAGATAGGCGTTGCTGTCGAATCCAAGCCGGATGGTACGTATCCACATCTTACACATATCTTGTGTGTGTTGTGCTAACAGCGTTGGGGTGGTTGTGTTCTGCGCATTCGGACATCAATGTGCCAGTGCCACAGGACATCAGGACTGTTTTGTTCACGCAGCTCACCGAACTTATGCGCGAGGACCCGAACCCCTCACCAGAGGTCGCGCAGCGCTGGGCTGAGCGGCTCAGGCCTAGAATGTCTATGACGTATGTGCTGGGGTTTACGAGACCGTGGAGAACGATGAATCCGCAGCATAATATACGGGCGACGCAGGTTGGCAGTGTGCGATCCGAGGTGAGCATGCGTTCTGAGCGGTTCTGACGAACGACATTAATGATTCCTTCTCGAATAGCCAGGGCACGCGCCCTTGCCTTCGTCCGAGCCGTCCAGTTTGACTTCGCAAGGGCTGTCAAGATTGCCTGCGACAACGACTACTCCGCCTGCACGCCAAACCAGGTCGCATATTCCCCCTCCTTCGAATGGTTCTGTTCCTGCGACTTTTTCGTCTAATCCTGGAAGGTCTGTCGATGAGCCCACAAATCAGTCGAACGAAGGTGATGATGGGCAAGGCACGTCGAGTAGCAGCTATGCCATCAATGACGACGTTGCTCACCCTCAGCGTCCGACAAACATGAACATTGCGTCAGAGCACGAAGACGCCAACATTGCAGATGAGTCGACTGCACCCGCACGAGCACCTGGTGCCTTCTCCAACCACTCTATATCGCCCGTCGATGGTTCACGTGCCTCCATCCTTGACATCGGCCAGTTGGCCGCTAATCTGCGCATGGCATTTGCTCGGTCGCTCGTCGAAGAGCGTCATCGCTGTCCGAGGACGTTCGTCGAGTTTGGGGCGTGGCTCGAGTCGCTACAGTAGGGATGAACATATCTAGTATCTGTTGTTTCTCCGCTTCCTGGCTGTGACTGTGGCAGAACAGGCGTTACTCTACATACTGGAAACCCCTCTCTCTCCCTGAGATATGTCTGTAGCATCTACGTCATCACCGGGCCCTTGCGCCGCAACGTGTACCACGTAGTACGCAGTTCCGCCAGATTCCAGCTTCCGCTCGTCAGTAGTGTGCGTGCTAGACTCTTCTGATTCCTCTCCGACTTCACCCCCTTGTCGTGCTATATGGAGCACAGTCGCGCTTGGGGCCCGGATGCCGTCCCAACGCGAAGGTTTGGGGGTACTGACCGCACGCCCGCCAAAGGCTTTCTCTATATGCGACCTGTTTTGCGCGACGAGTATGATCACGACGGCCGGATAGATGGCCTTGGGTAGGTTATGAGATGTGTAGTCCTTGGGGAAAAAGGGGGTCAATGTACAATGATAGGAACAAGTCCTGTATTTATGAAGTTTCCGAATCGGTCCTGAAAGGTGATGGAATTTGTCGGCACGTAGAAGGAGCACTGCCAAACGACCACAAGTATCTGCGGGCAGGACATTGAGTCCCGCTCCTGAGATCTTGATGCACAACATAGGGTTACCCAAATAGCACAATACACCATTCCGGTTTCGATCAGTATAGAGAATAGTCTCTCAACCCGAGTATTCCTATCGCCCGATACCATGAATTTCCGAAGAAACCTTCTCGATTTCCTGCAACCTTCATGAGGGGCTAGCTTAAGGCATATATCAACCTGGAGGATGACACACCATGCTTTTTAGGCCACTATGATGGTTGCAAACATATTCACACAAAGAGACAGAACAGAGGCGGCAAAGCCATATGGCGTTCCTCCATACATGCCTCCCGGCAGGCCGGTATTGCTATCATATGACCAGCCAATGGGCCCAAACAGGTCATCCCCAAGGCATGTGATCCTGAGATCCACTGCTCCCAGAGCTAATGACCCCGGAAATAACGACCATCTATGAGAACATGTAGAGATTGCTAGATCATTACAAGCTCACCGAAGGTTGTCAGCAACAGTACGATGTAGACACCTCTTACAACATGATTTCCCGGCCAAAGCAACGAAGCTCGCCAACAAACGATCGAATCGCCTAAGAGTAGGGGAAGTGTTGAACTTGGACTTATCCGGTCCGGACTACACGAGGCTATGCGTCTCCTAGCGCTTAGCTGTAGTCGCTTATGTAGTATGTTACCATATTTGGGACTTGTCGGAATGCGGTCAGGTGACGTGTCAGATTAGATTAGATTACCTTACCTTCCTGTTATAGTAGACAAGCACTGCCACCTGCCAGCGCTGTAGACAGTGCTGGCTTCGCTCCTTCCTTTCCTCAGTCAGTGATCTTCCCACTAGACTGAGGTATGTTCATCTTCTATTCCCATACTATACTGTACTCATATGGTTCTTAGAGTCCTCTGTACAGGTATAGTCCTAATTCAGTCAGTGATCTTCCCACTAGACTGAGAGTCCTCTGTACAGGATCTCTTAGGTTATGAGCCCTGGCTCCTCCAGCTGAGTTCTTACTCCTCATCACACCACCACTCCCCTGTGTCCAACTCAGAGTTGCACACATACTACCAGGTGTACGACTTTGAGTCCACCCTGCTCCCCATCTCTTGTGCCAGCACACCGGCGTTTTTTCCCGCGCTTAAGCGCCCACACTTCGCCCT